AACCCTTCCCACACTCTTGTAATATTCTAAACAATGTTTCTAAACTCTGAAGCTCTTAAAAAAAGCACAGAATGTCATGATTTCAGCTCCCTGTCTCCGCTGCACTCTGCCATCGCGCTCTTGGCCACGCCCACTTCTCATCACATGCTGCAGGAGGAAGCTCCGGAGCTGTGGACTGCACAGAGGTGTAGGAGGGAGCTTTTTCTTAAGTTGTGAGCTGCACACAGGTACAGCAGTTGCTGAATAATTTATAATAATTTATTTTAAATAAAAATCCCACGCTGATCGTGTGGCTCATCCATCAATCAGCCAATTGTGTGTCATGTCCAATCTTACTTTGAAAAACCGCGATACAGCAAGTCCGGGATAAACGAACCGAGAGGCAGCGAGGGACTACTGTATTCCCAAGGTAGTAACTGAACGTTGACAACAGATTAAAACTGGTGTGTAATGAAAACAACCTAACATATTTACAAATGAAGACATTTGGGCAAGACAGCATCACTGGTTCTGGACCCAAAAAGGACAAAAACAATGGTATACTTGGGTGTGACTAAAAAAGCTCAAAACTCTGTTTTAAGGTTGTTTTAATCGTATACTCCACACAGGAGTGAAAGCGTGGTAAAGGTACACAACAAGCCCCTGTAACACATTCAGCTCTGAAACTGTCTGTCTTTGCTTGGCAGGGTTTGTGCAGTGTGCAACAGTCCAGGATTCACTAATAATGAAATCTGATAGTATCCGTGGCAACAGGAAATACAGGTCTGAGGTAAGACAGGATCAGAAGTCATTTAAAACATCAATTCCTGTTTCCCACTCATGTGTAAGTACATCAATAGAGCTTTTTAAACTCCATTAGAGAAGTGGCTACATATCTGGAGGAGATGAAGCGTCCACAGGTGCAGACTGAACAAATACACACGGGTTTATTCTCTGTGCCTCCAGGGGCTTGGTAATTTATCAGAGTGGTGTTTACTGCAGGGGATAAAGTGACCAGACAGCCTGGTCCACACTTTTACTGTCACACCTGTGTCATGAATGCATAATGTGTCACTGTCTTTTAAAAACAATGGAAGGAATCTGGAATAAATCCTAAAGAAAATGGGAGAAAATATCACTTTTGATTCAGACTGTAAAATAAAAGTGAGGCAGATTACTCGTATTTTAAAAATCAAAGTTACTGTCCAAAAAAGCAAGTAACGGCACACCATTTAGAGTTTTAACTGTACTGTATACATTGCTGTATGACAGCAAATAAAAAATGTAGTTCGTTGACGTCATGAAAAAAATGAGTAATCCTGGGAAAAGGCTGCGTTAAAGACCGCGGATATAATCTGATCTGAAGAGGAAAAGGTGTCAATTTTGTTCATGACTATTGACTTACCTTACGTTGAGATATTCACATTATGTCTGTTTCTGATCAAGGCAATTATTTGGTCTAATCTAACTGTAACTACTTAATTAGATTACTGTAGTTACTGTTATTGTAGGTGGTGCCTTCAGGTGTGAAGTTACCCAATGTTATTACAAGTTATTACATGTTAATACATGTTATTACATTTCTGGAAGAAAATACAGCTGAAATTGTTCAGGTGAAACATTAGTTTGCAGTAGTTTTGTTGTGGATATGAGCTATTTGATGTGTTTTATACGTTTTCATTTTGTGATATACAAAATATTGTATATAAAATATTAATATTGACATGTAAAAAATAATCAGCTTTCTACACATTGTAATTGCACAAAATTAACAAAGAAAGATTGCTGGCAGAAGAATGCTTTCATACTCTCACTAAAGATTTTGTCAGTATACTGTTGAAAACATTCGGGAAATAAAATAAGAGCAAATCCCCGTGACCCAAAAATGGAAGAAGTGGGTAAAAGATAATGGATGGATGGATGGATGAATAAGAGCAAATCAAATGATATTATTTTCCCACTTACTACAAAAAATACTACTTAAGCATCAATTAGAAAAATGAGAAAAGTTTTTTTTGTGTGTTGAACTTCAAAAACCATCATTTTGGTTTTAACAGGCATTTGAAAAGCACGAGCAATCTGAGTGAGTCAGTCATTAGTTATATTCTGTCCACTTCTCAGGAAAACAAAAGTTAACATTTCTAACCTCAGTGTGGGAGCATAGATACCTTCACGAATACGAAGAAGGCATTTGGATGATGGCGTTGTATTTGAAGTTTCCTCTAAGTAAGCACTGAATAATAACGGATGTGGTCTGGGACGCTGTGCCCCTCTCGATAAGCCGTCACCTGAAAGCAGCCTCTGAACGCTCCTGCGGTATTTAGGTGGAAAACAGAGAGACGTTTCTCGAACATGGGGACAGCTTTTAGATGATGATGGAAATAATGAAATGTATTTCTGCGGTTTGACCTTGCCTAGCAAAAAGCATTAATTTGTCAGAAAGGGTAAATGTGTAATTAGAAGTCCTATCTCTGTATTCATACTTTTAAAAAAAAAGAGTCTATATTTAAAATGAATAAATAAAAACTTTACTTATTTACTGAAAATAGTAAAATTGTTTACGTAAAATTCCAGAATAATTACATAATTTTTAATGCAAAACCCATTATTGTTGTTGTTGTTGTTATTTGCCTGCCCACAGAAAGGTGAAAGGTGGGTGATGCAATAATGTTTTTGACCATGTCTGTGTGTGCATGCATTTGTCTGTTTCCAAAATA